GGGTTCCGCAGGCATGGCCCCATCACCTTACGTGGGCGCACGGGTAGAAGGGACCATTGCCCATGCCTCACTCTACTTTTCTCGGTCACTGCTCATTATATGGTCTCTTGAATTCCAAGTTGCGAGCCAACAAATTCTTTCAATTTCTATAATTAATCACTCTTCTCCTGCCACCCCACCCAAAAAAAAAAAAATCATATTTGATAAAATAAAAGATTAAAATGATTTTTCCAAATTGACCCAACTGATATTAGAAAACTCACCTCTCTATGAGTTTTCAAATATGAACATTTAAAGAGGTATCATCAACAACATGCAAATCAAAAAAGGTAACTTAGGGGGTGCAAGAGCTTTCGAGTGAATAAGTTGCAGAGAAAACTTATGGTCAATGACAGAGTCAGGATCCAAAGTTAGAAAGTATAAAATAATTTAATAAAAAATTAATATTTTTTTAAAAATAATAATTATGTTGGGACTAAAATTATAATAACATAAATAGTTTTATCATTATTTTTCATTGTAAAAAATTATATTAAACTTTTTATTATAAATATGCTTTTTATATCTTATTTAAATAATAAAAATATTATATATCTAATAAGTTTTTAAACCTATATATTTTTCATTTAATTTAGAGAGTGCAAAATATCAAGAGTAGGGGGTGTAAAGTTATAAATTTTATATACCCCACTTACAACTTACAAGGTATGGTGGCGGAATTCAACCATACAAGATGAGCTAAAATGACACAAGGTGTTTTAAATTATTGAATCTTTTGTTTACTTTTATGTATTTCTTTCGGTTAACATATTTAAAATAATAATTTGAGTCCAATTAGGAGTCCAGGACGTTTTTGAATTATTACTTTCATATTGCAATTGTTTTATTTAGTTTTTAGGATTATTCTTTAGTTTAAGAGTCCAAGAAAGTTATTTAAAATCTATGCATTCAGATTGTCTTCCATAATCTGATTGGACACCCTATTGAATCCCTTTTAAATGCTGTTATGTTCACTAACCATCCACAATTCGATTACTTTTATAGTCTAATTAGCCTTTTCATTAAGATTAAGACCTTTTAAGTACGAGACTTACCATTCCTTATCCAAAAGTGGCGTCCAGATTGCTTTTTCACGCAACTTAACATCTTTCATTAATCCATTCATAAGCTTTTTGAGCTTTATTAAGTTTACATTTAGAGTTTCTCAGAGCCTGTTTGTTTTTTATTTTTAAAAACTGTTTTTGGTTTTTGAAAACAGAAAAATTTAAAAATTTGTTTGGTTAAGTGTTTTCTATTTACTTGTTTCCAAAACAGTTTTCATTTTTTTGTTTTTAAAACAAAAAAAATAGAAACAATTTCAAGTTGTTTTCATTTCATTTTTTATTTTTAAAATATATTATATGTGATTATTAAAAATTACAATTATGTTGATCAATTTTTATCATAAATTACTATTATTAATCACCTATAATCATCACTATCAATCTATTTTTTAATTCTAAAACTCTTTTTAAATTAATATAACCAAATAGATTTTCATTTTGTTTTATTTTAAAAAACAATCATGAAAACTGTATTACGAAACAATTTTCAAAAATAAAAAACGAGAAATCAAACAGGTCCTTAGAATCCTAACTAGAATTAAAAGTCTTTTACTTTTGGAAAAATACATCCATTTGTCCCTATCTTTTAGAGTGCTTTGGTAATAGTTCTTATACCTTTTTTTTTAACTTTCATTGTTCCAATCCCTTAAGTTTCATGCATTCGCAAACATTTAATCTTTAAATTTGCTAATGCATACATAATTATGTTTAATTTTGTTACCGACTCGGTAAAATTATGATAAATTGGATGTTATATGAATAAAATGGTTACATGCTTTCTTCCTTTTGAAGCTTCATATATCGTACGTCAAAAAACTCTGATTTCATGTTTTGCCTTTTTTTGATCTTCTACTCATTTTTAATATAACTTATTATAATTTTAACAAGTTAACAGAAGTAACAGAATTTATGCACATCTTAACTACTGTTAAATCCTTGTGATTATATTTAAAATTAAAAGTATACATATTAATGTTGTAAATAAATGAAACTTAAAGGACCTGAGACAATAAAAAAAAGTATAATAACTAATACCAAAATACACTACAAATATAGAGACCAACAATTAAATTTTCCTTTTATTTTTCTATGAATAAGTCAGATTTATACATGCATAATTCAAAGTAATGAGAACTATTCAATTTTTATAATGAGAACATGGCTAGTTTTTCTGTATTTGATTCGAATACCTTGTGGCTAGTTTAGATTATTGTGACATACTCCTATGATCCTATTGGAAGATTAATTTCAATCCTATTTATAGGGCATCATTATTTTATAGGTTCATCTTTGCCTTTTTATCCTTATTAAATGTTAGAAAAAATTATTAAAAATAATTTTTCTTGTTCTTATTAGGTTTAGAGGTAAAAATTTATTAAATTTTAAAATAGAATTAATTAGGTTTAAGATTTTTCATGATTTTGATAAAATATATTGAAAATGACTAATAAATAAGATAAGAGGGAGTATGGAGTTCTTCTTGTTTGAGTTTTTAATTTCCATTTTATGTGAATTCCATACCACCTTTAATTTCTTCATTTCTTTATGTAGTAATGTGAAGTATTAATTGTCAAGTTATAGATTTCAATTCACATTCATAAGCATGCATGGGAGGGAGGGTTGTCGCATAATTCAACATGTCAATCTTTTAAAATGAAAATGCATTGTAGTTCTCTCTCTACAGGTGAGAGTGAGACTCAAAATAAATTAAAAACAATACAATGGGTAACACATTGCATATATTCATAAAAATATAGTGATTAGTGTTAATAGATTGAACTCCTCCCATAATTGTTAGTTCGAATTAGTAATGGATTAAAATTTGAACAGAAAAAAAAGACATTATGGCTTTGAAACAGAAGATTGTCTGATTCCTAATCTTTTTGAGGTGAAAACTAGCATATTTTCTTTATGAAACAAATTTAATATCTCCTCCTTGCTTCACTTCTAATCAAACAGAATAATGAAACACACTTAAATCAATTTGTTTGTTTTATAATCTTACAAGTGGAAGCCATATGTAAAATACATGAAAGCAAGGAGTTACATTTTAGAACAATCCTTATATAAGTTTAAAAAATAATGAAACTTTTTATCCCTTAAATTAACCTCAATTATTGATTGGATTTCTTAAATTAAATTTTTATCAATTTAGTCATTTACGTTTGTCTTAATTATAAATTTGATTTTTATGTTTGAAGATGAGGTAATTTCGTTAAGGCTAAAATACATAAAACCTTTCTGAATTTTGAGACAGTTGCATATAACTTCCATCACCTTTAAAAGTTTAAAATTAATCCCCTAATCTTTAATTTTACTTTTCAAAACCCCTACTATTAATTATGTTATTTTCATGAGGGTTGAAATATCAATCAACTAAAAATGTTATTAAACACAAATATTATATTGTATAACTATTTATAATACATTTCTTAAATTTTTTGAATAGTTGAGGCATTGATAAAAATGTTATTATCACTATATAAAATTTTAAATATTTTTTTATATTAGTTTTATCCATATCTTTTTGTTATCAATGGTGCATGGTTTTATTGTTTTAAAAGATAATTTTTTATTTTTATTTTAATATTAAATTAATGTAATGTACATGGCTAAAATATTTAAAATTTTAAATATTACTAAGTTAGACTAATTTATCTTTTAATACACAAAAATTATGCACCATTGATAACAAAAAAAATAGATAAAACTAATACAAAAGTAAATATTTAAAATTTTATATGATGAAAAAACATTTATTTTGGCCATTATTAATTCTTCAACTATCCAAAAAATATGAAAAATTAATTAATCATAGTTCTACAATATAATATCTTGCTTAATAACATTTTTTCAGTTAAATAGCATTTTAACCCTTATAAAAAAATAATATAATTAACAGTAGAAGATTTTGAAAAATAAAATTAAAAGTTAGAGAGTTAATTTTAACTTTTAAAGGTGATGAAAATCATATGCAATTGCTTTAAAATTCAAAAGGATTTTGTACATTTAGCCTTTCATTAAAACATGTTGACATAAATAAGGGAATATTGAGTTGACATCCATGTAGAATAATGAAAAGATGCGTACTTATTTAGGCAAAAAAAATAAGAAAGGAAATAGATTGAGAAGTTTTAAAAAATAAAATAACTAAATGCAACCTAAAAGTCTAGATTAATAAAAATCAAATCAATTTGAAAGCTAATTTATTCTCATTTAATCACATATAAATGCCAAGTCATCAATATACTTTAAATAACGAATTAATTTAAAAGTTAATTTGTATTTCAAAACATAAAGAACTAATATGATATCTTAAGAAAACATAAGAAAGTAAATTGATAGTAGTTAAATTTAGAGACCAAATTGATAAATCAAACAAACTTAGGGGATTAAAAATTTCTTGATCCCTAAGTTTAATAATACCTTTTTTATGCAAGTTGCTAATAAGGTTTTGAATATCATGCTGGTGCAAGATCAGACTTTTTTCTTTTTCTCTCTTTCCCCCTTGAATTGAAGACTATTACGGACCAAAAAAAAAAAAATCAAAACTCTTTGAATTGCAGCGGAGATAATAAAAAAAACTATAAAATAACTCTCATGAGCATTACTCACTTGTCAATTTATACATTCATTCGTTTCTCTAAATATACGATCTACAGTATGTGCAAGGCCAAACTACATAACTAAGTTTACTAGTGGTTACTCGATGCAAATGCCCATCAAGGCTTGTTCATTGTTAAACGGACTCTTGACAAATTGATTTTTAGTAAAGGAAAAACTAAATAGGCACTAGAGTTTAGCTAGCTGATAATTAATAACTAGGTTTCATTACTTGAATACGCCTAGCAGGAAGTCAGGATCATTGGAGAATATTGTTCAGTTTACAATGTTCAGTGAAGAAGATGCATGAGTGGAATTTTTTATCGTAATCTATAATGACAGAGAAGAACAGAGTATATACCATGCGTATAACAAATACATAATTAGCTGGAAAATACCAGGAATAAATAATTGAAAAAAACTGAGGCTAGCCTCAATCTATAATTATGCATAAGTTAAAAAAAAAAAGAATATAATTAGCTTTATCATGGCATGCCTTGCCTGATTGTAAACTCGAAAAGAATGTGAACCAAAGAGGCTTATCAATTGCAGAACTGATGATGGTCATGAGAAACTTCAATAAGTTTCACTTTTTGAGTCTCGAAAGTGCAGATTCAGCTTCACTTAGCTGCTGCTTTAGTGCTGATATTCTATTCTGTAATCGTTCTACTTCATCTTTACTGGCCAAGGATTGATAGGGTGATAAAAAATGGCTAGAAAATGATTTCAAAGCTGCTACCCCAGTGACCTATCAAATTCAAACTGGCTAAATCAAAAGTCTGGAATAATAACTGATATTTATTTCTTTATTTTTTGGTAGAAATATAATAACTGATATTTAGATGAGATCATATTAGCACAAATGCATTGGATCTGGATGTCATCAAAACCAACAATTTAGGAGGAAAAATAAGGAAAATGATGGTTAAGATCCTTAAAAATTAAAAATCCTTGGTTTTTTCTAAAGTTGTCACCCATGTTCTTTGAAGATTCAATCTTTCTATATGTTAAAAGAGTGTTTCTATTCAAATCTAATAACAAATTTAAAACATCTTAGTGTTATAGGAAAGATCAAAAGCAGTTTTGTAGATTATAAGCGATAACCTCATAAAGTTTTGTGACATACAGACAACTTATTTTTAGTCCGAGACACATTTGTAACACTCGGAAGATCAAGTTATATAGAACATAAGTGGTAACTTTAAGAATCACAGGTGCGAACAAAGACTAATTTTCTTAACATACTTCCTCCGACCCTATTGTAAATTTCTAGACATTGTAAAGCATTTCTAGCTCCCTTGCCGGAACCAAGGTGAGGAGGTTAAGTTATTAACTTTGTCTAAAAGTAGAAAAACTTTTAATTTTACTCTTATTTAAATGAAAAATTTTCTAATTTGCATTACATTTTCTTTCATAATTAATGAGTTTAAATAGGGGTAATATTGAAAAACGTAATTAATATCCCATGAAGTGCCTTTATATTAAGGATCAACTAATATTTCTAGAAGGTGACTTGTAATAGGGAGTTAGGGACTAGAGAGAGTATGTAAATTAATTATCTAGCTCCTACATTTAGGACTGGAAGGAGTATATATCTTCTTTGTAAATTAACATAGAGCGACTTACCTCTTCTGGGAGCAGTGGTAGCTTTGTAATGTTAAAGTCATCATACAACATATAAAACTGGTCTAGGTACTTCTGTTGCATCTTCATTCTCGCTTTAAGTAACTTGGATTCAATGTCTACAAGGATAATCACACGAACAAGCAATATGAATAAGCTGAGAAAATGGATAGTAAATATAAAAGACATCATTAACACATAATGTGTTGGGAGGCTACCTTCATCGTCAAAGATTACTTGATTAATTATGATATTGTGTGTGTCAATCTCAAACTTTGTGAGTTCCTGAACCAATCTCTCTGTTTCATACAGAGAGAGGAACTCCGGAATGCAAACACAGACAAAAGTTGTCATGTCCTGTGAATAGGGAAAAAAAAAAATAGAATGATATTTAATAAATTGCAGGAGATATGCAATTTAGTTACCAGGGAATTGAGTTTAAGGCATGTTCTAGTTCATGTTGACCAGAGAAGGAATGATTGTAAAGGAATAGGAAATAAACAAAGGAAATCTTCTGGGACTGTTACATGTAGAAATTGAAATAATAAAAACAATTGAAATAACAGACTTCCAGCTTGACTTTATTTAATAAGTGCAACAGAACAGAAAACAATGCTAAAGGTCAAAAACTAAAGCAGAGAGTCAGCAAAAATAACTTGACCAGATCAAACAATTTGAATGCAAAGACAAAAAAATTGATGAGTAGTGCATAAACATTTTAAAAGTTTGGCAGCACTAAGTGCAAGGAATATACACAAAATAAAGCAAAAACTAGACATGACGAAAACAATCAAGAATAGCTCAACGGGTGAAGTACTAACCAAAGGCAAATATGCCTTTTATATAAATGAAGGGTTCAGATTGTTTCAAAAGACCCCTATCAATTGAGTCAAAGTTTTCTTCAAAATACTTTTTTTTCTTTCCTTGTTGAGTATACAAAAGTTAATTTTTATATGAAGTTATCTCAGCAAGTGAAAGAATAAAAAAGGAAACCATTTCATTTTAGCAAATGATTGAATCTAAACTTCGGTTGAGCAGTGCTTTTTTCTCATCTTAATCCCTTTAAAGCCCTCTGATCTTCTCAGGAGGCTAAATGGACATAATGGAAAAAGACAATAATATCAAACCATCGACAGTTGAAACTTAAGGTTTTGCATTGAGTGATACAAATAATTTGTATGTCAAGCAAGTAACATATTCATGACATTCAGGTTTAACATCAGCGATGCATCAAACATAAGACAAGCTACTTGCAGTGAATTAGCCAATTCTTGCTCCTCCAAAAACTGACCCCCAAATTCTTGAAGGATTACAAGGTCAATTTCATTCATTAATATACAAATGTACGTTAACATTCTTTGACCAATTTCTTCTGGAAAGCAAGGGTTCTTCTAAGGTAAAGACTTTTGTTTAGAATGCTACATTTAGTGGAGTAAATGCAAATTATATGCTAAAGACTTGGAGGTCCTATCAACTATTTTAACGGATGTTCAAGTCATTTGTTTTTGTTCAGGGACATATAATCATCATCTTCATCACCGTTAAGTGGCAAGATGGGGTTGCAGCAATAAGGTGTGTGGTATTTTTATTGAGATCTGGAACTGTCCATCTGATTTACAGGTGTTCTTAGCCATTAGGTCTACTGGTTTGAGCAGGGAATGGAGCACAAGGGATACATCTGCTGGTTTCACAGGATTATGATGTATTTTGGGTCAGAACAGAAAATAAGAGCTTTTAATCAGAAGTATCTTCCTTCCTGCACATCTTCTTTTGGAAAGGATAATTATTATGGCCTTTTTTGTGTGTTTTAGTGAATAGATATACTTCCTTCCAATCCAAAATATAAGCAGCTTTTAACAATAATTTGCATACCAATAAAATTTTATTTTCATGAAAGTACATATTTTTTTCCCCTTTTACTCTCAGCTCCAATTTATAATGAGTGAGAAGATGGTTATAAATTCATAGATATAAGAATCTAAGTTAATAAATACGTAAAATGGGAATTGTCTTTTACAAATACTAAGTTACTTATAGGTTGTACCAAAATTAGCTAGAAGAAAATGCTTATATTTTTAGATCGGAGGGAATACATACATACATACATATATATATATTTTCTGGGGCTGGATTCATTATGGATATAAAAGGGATTAAAAGCTCTTTTGAGTTCAAGATTCTTGGTTATTTTCTATTGAATGAGGAGAATCTCTAATCCTCTATAATTGTATCATTATTTGTACTCATCAATACCATAGTCTAGTAATTGGAATATACAAGAAAATATAGTAACAATAAACAAGCAAGTACCATTTCAAAAGAAAATAAGACAAAAATGAAGTCTTACTGGATCCTTGAATTGCTTATTGACTTGTTCAATCACCTCCTTCATGCCTTCAAGCCTCACAAGAAGTGCATCATCACCAAAATCATCCTCCACACCAAACATGCGGGTCATCTGCAACAACAACCAGAAAGAATCTTCCATCTGAGCCTAGTATGTAATAAATATGCCAAGTTGCCATGTGAACATCATCAGCCCAGAGCTTTGAAGTCTCAAGAAGGACAATCAATTCATAAAGTTACTCAGAATACATCATTGCTGATGTATTATAGCAAAGATAATGTGAATAGTATGCAGAGACTGGGCATGAAACACAGAACAGAGCACACCATAATCCTTCTTCTATCAAGGTTAAGAAATATGAAGAATGAAGAGAAAAACCTTGAATGAAACATATAGTAAATTTTGACAAACATGAGACCATTTATAGGATGAGATTACAAGGTATGGCATTGACTGTTCATAATTACTCTCCTGGTCTTATTTATAAGTTATTTCTAATTATCTCACAAAAACCAAGAGAAGATAGTTAAATTATTGGTGTTGTCTAAAAAAGAAAGAAATTTCCTAATTTACCCTTATTAAATGAATCATCTTTTAAAAAACAATTTATCTCTCATATAACCTTTTAATTTCTACTAATCAAAAATTATGAAAGGGTAAAATTAGAAAAAAGCAACTAATGATCCAACTTGAATTGCAAAGTGACTTATAATAAAGACCATGAATTTTTTTTTTTTTTTAAGAGTGACTCATATATAGGACCAGAGGGAGTACACAATAATATGCTACTGATTACATTATTGTAACCTACCTAATACGGAAATAAATACATGCTGAACTTGTTCATACACACTAGCTAACTATTCAGCATATTTACATCTCAAAGATACAGTTAGTTAGTTAAAACAATGATTTTCGTTTTGAGGTTCACTTTTCAACAGATTATAATACAAGAGAAGACAACTATTAATCTAAAGTTCATACCTGATTAATCAAACCACCAAATTTATTTTTCAAGGACAAAACTTTTGCAATACCCTTTTCCAAAACTGCTGGGAACTGCAAAAGTCTGAGTGTATGGCCTGTGGGTGCAGTATCAAATACTATAACAGAATAATCCATTGTTTGCACCAATCTGTAAAAGAAAATAATCAATCAAATCACAATGATGGATAAAGGAAGTGGATAAAATTACAAGTTACGTTGGAAACAGAATCCAGAAACATTAAAGACCTCGCATACTATATTGACAAATATGCAGATTTCTTTCATTGAAGACCTGAATGAGAAGCTATGTTCAGAATTATGCAGATTTTTCTCATTACTGAGCTTTATGCTTTCTAAATATGAAGTTAAGCTTGCATTGGACCCTGCTAGATCCATCATTAAGTATGAATGGCTCCAAAATATGCAATGAGAAGTGCACCATGTAAATAAGTATGAATCAGAAGCTCAATATGACTACTTAAGGGTGTATGACACATGGACTTTTGGTTAATTCCTGAGATACGAGCCTATACCCCATGTTTGGTATGGCATTTAAAGTACAATTTTCATACAACACAATTTTACATCCAAGGTGAAAAGCTAATTGTGATATATGACTCTCTAAAGCAGTATTTGACACCATTTGGGGGTAAATGGATGATATATTCATACTGATATTATCCAGAGCCAAGCCTCAACCGCACTCAATTCATTATATTATCATTCCTTGTCTTGTCATACCAAACGTATTCAATTGCAGTTTGTTCAGTATAATTACACATTGAATGGTTGACATGCATATTGACTTTTTTCTTTCTTTCTTTCTTCCCTTCTTTCCTTCTTCTTCTTCTTCTTCTTCTTCTTCTTTTTTTGTGGGTTCAAAGCATGCTGAGCACACTGATGTTATCCAGAGGAAAGCCTCAACCACACTCAATTCATTATATTATCATTCCTTCTCTTGCCATACCAAACATATTCAATTGCAGTTTGTTCAGTATAATTTTACATTGAATAGCTGATATGCATATTGATTTTTTTGGTTCAAAGCATTCTGACCACAGAAGCAATATCCAAAGATCATTGAGATGATATGAGTATCCGAGAAATAAAGCAATGAGCAGCAAAAGAACAATAATTATGGCCAAAGTATTTATCATTTGCCAAGTCAGCAACCATGGATGCCTAAATGGGCATATACCGCAAGGAGTTTTGCAAGGACCATACAGAGGAATTCAGTAATTTCCAATACAAAAAGACACACCAAACATGGTAATCCAAAGCACCTAGACATTCAACTCTAAATTTGAATTCTATGCAAAATTGTTTCAACAAAGATATCATAACTCTACAGACCTAACCCTCTGGGTAATTATATCAAACCATTATTAATCATTTACTTAACCAATGAATGTTCTACAAATAGAAGGCGTCAAAACTCTCTGTTTTAGCTCGGACATTTAAGGGACTCTCATTCTCATACACCTTGAAACTGACAGGCCTATACTGTTACAAAACACAATATGGCACAGAAAACTTTCAAATTCAGGTGGACATTATTGATCGAAGTTCAAGTCAAGACAAAATCAATACAACAACACATATTTCTTACTTCAACATCTCAGCAAAACTCATTGCCTCGTCAATTCCAGGTATAGCACCTGCTAGCTCTGAAAACAAAGTATCCATTCCCTCAGAACTCGTTTCCTCTTGTTCAACAGTAGGATCCACCTCCTATAAAGTATGGATCATAATAAAGAATGAGAAAAATACTTTGCAACATAATTACAGTAAATATGATAAGGACCTTGATAACATACTATGACAAGAGGTAGAGGGAAAGTATAAACCAAAAAAGCTTCTGCCAAAATTATTTCTCGACACAAACATTTGGCATGAACTCAGGATATACATGCCACTGATGCATGAAAGAAAGGTTGAGTGAGAGAGAAATCCCCTTATTTGCGAGAGGTAGAGAGAGAGAACATCCCATTCTTCATTTATGTCTATAAATTATGAAATCGATTGCTTGGGCATGCTCAGATTTATCAGAAAGGGAAAATTATTGATAAAAGGCAATCCTATTATTCAAAGGGTAAATCGCTAGGATACAGCGCGAAAACAAATAATCAAGAACTGGAGGTTTACCAACGCATAAAGATTGGTGAACCCATTAACCAAAGTGGGTGTCTTCGTGAACCGTTGTTGAAAAGCATCACTGAGATTGTGAGCAGGGTCGGTGGAGATGATCAGAACGGAGCCACGAACGCCGGCGAGAAGGATCGAAAGAATGGAGCTACAAGTTGTCTTGCCAACTCCTCCTTTTCCTCCGACGAAAACCCACTTGAGACTCTCTTGGCTCAGTATGTTCTCCACCGTCCCCTCCGGCACCTCCTCCTGATCCGCCATGGACACAGCTTCTGTTCGCGCTTTCTATCAATCTCCAGTGCTTTCACAGTTGATCAAACACCGAGAAATCCGCATAATTCCATTGGTATGTGGCTACCGACAGGGGGGAAAAACGCACGGCAGATTTAGTTCAGGGTGGTATATAAAATCGATATGTATGAAGACAAATAAATTGTTGCTTGCTAGAGTTTGATTCCAAATTAGCCGAACCAGGAAGGCAAGAAGCAAATTCCTTACGTGAAATGTGGTATATTGGGCTGATCGATCAAAATGCATGAGAACTTTTTGGCAGCCAAAAACAAAAACAAAAAAAAAAAAAACAAAACAAAATGAAAAAAAAAAAAAAAGAAAGCCAAACTTCTAATCTGCGAGTTTGTCTCGTTAACTTTGCTGCTAAAGTTTAATGTTTATTAATTCCATCGTTTAAATTTATTTTAATTATTAATTTAATTTTTATTATTTAAACAAAAGATAACATAGTTAAAGTATGCTAACATCAATAACATAATATTGATGCTAGCTATGTAAATTAATAAAAAATATAATTATAATTATGTAAAAAAAAATATAGACTTAGGATTTAATAAAAACAAAATAACAAAGCATACCGTAAGGGCTAGATTAATAAAAAAGTTAATTGATTTGAAGGATAATTTGTTCTTAGTTAGTTACACATATATGTTAACTCATGGGTTAATAAGCAAAATGAACCTTAAAGTATTGTACAAAAAGAGTCTTGGATTCTAAACTCTTGAAATATACAAAATAAATTTTAAATTTTTAAATTGACAGCAAAATGAACCTTTATCATTAATTTTTCTAATGTTATTATTGTTTATTTTGTTAATTAATATCATATAAGGGTGTTTAAAATCGATCCAAACCGAAAGGACCGATCTAAACCAACCCAAACTGAAAGAAACCGATCAAAACTGAACAATAATCAAACCTGCTTCTGTTTTTATGATATGAGAATTGATTGATTTGGTTCAAGTTCGGTTTTGAGAATAAAAAACTGAACCAAACTGAGCCAAACTTGATTAAAAAATATTACTTATTTATTTATTAAATATATAACCATTTATCTACAAGAAGCATTTTGTTTTGAATTTTTTATAGTAATAGATAAACATTTTTAAAGGACTTGAATGGAAATGTATAATATTAAATAATTATAACAATGATGCTATGACCATCATTTAATTATTTACAACTTGAAAGCCTTAGTATTCAATTTATCTATAAGAAGCATTTTGTTTTAAATTTTATATTATAAGGTTTTCATTATTTATTAAAATATAGCTACATAGATAAACATTTTCAAAGGACTTGAATGGAAATGCATAATATTAAATAATTTTAATCTTAAAAACTTATAACAATTTTTATAATTAATTATCATTATCATATTGAAATTTTATTATATTTTTATACCTCTATTTATGAGAAAAAAGAGCCAAAAAGAATTAAATTTAATTTTAATATATAGCACCATTATGAAGATGAAAAAAAGAAAAAAAAAATTAAATAAGTGCATTGAAGCCTGATCCAGACCTTAACCAAACTGAACTAAACTGAAAATTAAACCGAACAAAACTGAGCTTCATAAAAACCGATCAGGTCTCAATTATAAGTAAATTGAATGGTTCGGTTCGGTTTGGTTTTTTGCCAAAACCAAACCAAACTGAACCTATGAACACTCTTAATGTCATAGACCCTAAACTATTACACAAGTAACATCCTACACCATAAACTTTGAAATTTCAAGCAAATTATCCCCAATATTTATATATAAAATATTGACTATTATGTAGACCAAATTAGCATAAATGTGGCCCACCGAGATGAACACATCCTTGGTCATGACGAACGATCCATGATTTTGTGAAATAACATTTTTTTTGCCCATTTTTTTGTAATGTTTTTCAAACAATTAGTATCTTATAACTTTGCATACTCTATAACTCTAATTTATTCTTATTTTGAATAATGCTTATTTATTTGGTTAAAACTTGGGATCCCATTGAAAAATAAGTTTAAATATTAGAGAATTTTAATTAACTAGTTAATTTGGGTTTTAAGTCTTCACACCCATCATTTGTAAAAAATTTTAATACTTAAACTTCTTTTCAAATAAGATCTTAAGTTTTCACTATTAAATAAATAAATATCATTTAAAATCAAAATAAATTAGAGTTATAGAATATATAGAAATATGAGATAACAATCATTTGAAAAATATTATAAAAAATGGGACAAAAAATATCATTTCAAAAAATTAATGGATCATTTGCCACAGCCAACGACACTTTCACTGTGGCAAGTTACGTTGAGATTAATTTAGTTTACATAATAGTTAATATTCTATACATAAATGTTGGAGATAATTTGCTTGAAATTTCAAAGTTCAAGGTCCAGGACGCTACTTATGTAATAGTTTAGGGTCTATAGCACTAATTAACAAATGAACAGTAACGACATTAAAAAAAATTAACAGGCAGGATTTATTTTGCCATGAATTTGAAAGCATATAATTCATTTTACACATTTTAAGAATTTAGGATTCAAGATGCTTTTCGCACAATATTATAGAGTTTATTTTGCTCATTAACTTTTAAATTATTAATATACTTTATATATGAAATTAATTTGAGAGTAAATTTGTGTTCTAAAACTTAAAGAAACATGATAATTTAAGAAAATATGAAACCAAATTTATTAAAATTAAACTTAAAAAATTAAATTGATAATTGAAATAAATTTAAGAGTTTAAAAATTTTATTATTATTTTTAAATAAAATCCATCAATCGAGGTTATCGCTGAGGTTACTATTGTGAATTGGAGCCGCATCACTGTGTTCCACTTAATCTTACCCACATTCATGGCGAAACTAGGTGCATTATCCATGTTTAATTGTGTTGCTCAAAAAAAAAAAAATCCATGTTTAATTGTGGGTCCATTCTGACAAGAAGGATCCAAATCCCAACCTTAGCACTGGTTTGTTTGCATTTGAAGCATTTTAGTTCAAGCAATAATATATATTTATTTATATCAATGGCACAAATTAATAAAAAAAAAATTAAAGTTATAGTAAACTCTATTATTTTAAAATGAAAGATAAAAATGTGGGATTCATGCGTTTCATATTACTTGGAACATTCTATGCTATTTGACTCTTCCTTAGAACTATAAAATGCTGAGATATAGTTAAAGTTGTCATACTCATGAGTTTAATTAAACTTATAATGTGAATGTAAAATTGAATCAAAAACTCTAATTGTAAATTTACAAGAGTTTACCGTTATTAATAAATAGCTAGTAAAAGTATATAATTAAAAAAAATAAAATATAAAATATAACTATGATTTGATTTAAATATATTTTAAATATAAATAATTAAAATTAAATTCATTTACATTGTTAGATTATCATACTCAACACATAAATTTAAAATTAGGCAACTTATTTTTGGTATTTCTTATCTTATTTTTTTTAATATTAGGTTTTTCTTTTTTGCTTTTTATTTTTCTTTGAATGGGGGTTCTATTATTTATATAAACCAAATTCTACACATAGTATATATCTAACTCGCTCAACTTGGTAAAAAATTAATAAGCTTAGCAAATTTAACTAGATTTGCATTTAGTTTGATTTTATGAATAAATTGACATAATTTTATAAATTAAAAACATAAAAGCGATAGATTCAGAGAGTTAACATGTGAGTTTACATCTAGTTTGGATTTATAAGTGAGTTAACATAATCTTGTAAGTTAAAAACGTAAAAATAATAAATATAAAAAGCTGATTCATAAGGTTTGCTTGGTTAAGAGGGCGGGGAGGGGAGGGGTATGATTTTGTTACACAATGACTAATATATTTCTTATCTTAATTGCCACTCTTCATCTTTTTAATCAAGTTTAGCAATGATAGATTTTAATAGTATATTTAACAATGAAAATTACTCTATATATATTTATAATTACATGTTAAAAATATTCATAACTATATTTTATTAGAAAAAATAATTTAAATAATATAAGGGTAAAGTTATTTATATATCATTATTTTTCTTTCCCTCCTCTCCTGAACCAGATAAAGCAACATTAAAATCTCTCTCCTTCCCTCTATTAAAATCTCTCCCCTCTCCTTGAATCAAAAAATCACATAGCCAATGGCCAATTGATCAGTAGACTATAAAGGATGATATTATTTCTGTTATAAAGAAACATAAACATTGGTACTAGCTAGTTATTAGTTGACATTCATTAAAAAAAAAAAAGAATGACTGAAGGAATAAAAAAAAGCATTAACTGACAAACTTAATGTAATTAATTAATTAATAACAATGATAAAAAGTTTGATTAATTGAAGTGTTGGCAAAAGTATTGTAAGAGCAAAAAATATATCATAATTCAAATTATTTTAAACAACTAAATTGCTACGTAGAAGTGCTCTGGAATTGGCCAAATCCAATTATCTTTAGGGACAAATTTGAGTATTTTGAACGGTATTATTCATATAACAAAATCATATTCACTATCACTAAAATCTTGATTCTCATTCTCCTAATTACGTTTTGTGTTTTCTATTTTTCTTGTTTGTTTCAAATCATTGTTACTGTAATAATGGATTTTCAATATAAAAATATAGAGTTGATGAGATGGTTGAGTTAGTCTAAGGCACTAGATTAAAATTCTGGTTTGAAAGCATGTAGTTACATATCCCATTCTCAACATTTGATTTTTCATTTTTAATGGATTTATGGCTGTGGCTTGCATTACAAATAAGTTGGTTAATGTTCATGACTTAGAATTAGTCCTCAGATGGCATTGTCTTTGGATGGTTCTTTATCACCCAAATTCTTTTGGTTTTGGAAGAAGAATGTTCTCCACCTTAGCTGGTTTGTTATTATGTTGAGTAGTTGCGCATTTTTATTGTATAAGTTTAATTTCCCCCCATATCTCTAATAAAAGAAATAAATATATTTTTTAAAAATAATTTTGTGATTTTAACTTGATAATATAGTTTAAAGATGAATCGCATTTATAGCTTTTAATAATGTAAAAAGTATGTTGATCATTCCATGATCATGAAAAATATTATAATGCTAACTGAATGAAAAGATACTCCCTTCGTTAAAAAATATAAGACATTTTTTAAGGAGTAGAATATTAAAAAATGTAAGGCATTTTTAGTCTTTTTAGGTGT